GGTGATCCTGGCTATGATCCCAGAACTAAAGGACTAGGGGATCTAGGGTACATTCCGCCTTCAACGGAAACATCTTCTAGCAAGCCTGCTGCAATTACGACGTAGGATCCATCTTGTAATAAGGACTCACTTCACTTAAATTGGATTTGTATCGTTTATGACAAAATTGCTAGATAGAAAGGAATGGATAAAAGATCCTAAAGCCGTAGAAAAAGTTAAAGAGGAGTTTGATGGTTTAACCGGCAAAGACACGGGATCTCGTCTTGGTCGATGAGCATTTTAACGTCGTACACAATGCCAAGTTAGCCGGCAAAACCGTGCATATTGCCGACATAATGTCCATATACACTCGTAAATACGATAAGCTGCCTAAAAAGAGTATTATCAGCTAAAAGGTAAGATAGAGGGGGCAATACTAGAGACCAGAATGGCGCTCTTGCCATCTACCACAGTCTGTCAGCATCTCCGGCTACTATCATTGCCGCTAACGCTGTGATAGCCTTTGGACAGCTCCCCGGCAGCACTACAACTGGCGCCGACGTTGTGAAAGCGCATGTACAAGCTCTGTTAGGAAGTTTGCGTGAAACATGGGTGCGTTTGCCTTGGGAATTATGTCCGGAATCTTGGAAAAGCAAGTATAAGAAGCCATTAATAAGGCTGCGCAAAAGCCTTTACGGGCATCTAGAATCGGGCGCGCGCTGGGCGTGATATCTCGAACGGGCCGTGGTGAAGCTAAGGGGCTAGTCTATGGATGGGCATCTTTTAATATTTTTCTTTAAGGAACGAAATTTTTTTATTAGTTGTGTGTATTGATAATTTGTTGCTTTCAGGAAGCATCGCTCTATACACACCTTTTTGGGAGGAATTAGGGAAAGTTATCGAAATCGAGGATATTGGTGGTTTGGGTAAGTTCCTTAATAGACACCACGAACTTGTTAGAGTAGAAAGTAAAGAGGGCATCGCCTTTAACATAAGGGAATATATGAAATTTGCTGTTGAAATATATTTGAAACTTAGTGACGCAGAGACTATTAAAGGAGCTCCAACTCCATTCCTTCCGAAGAGATCGATCTTTCCAGAAGAATGGGAAATAAAGGCAGAGGTTAATAATAGAGGCAGAGGTCATTGCTATGGCCCTCGGATGTGTTCTTAGAGGCCTAATCCGAAGGAAGTGTTACGGAATATGATCCTTTAGAGAAAGATTCATATTGTGATTTATGAGGATAGTGAGGCGACCGAGAAGATTGTACGCTCAGGATTTAGCCAAAAGTTAAGATATATAACCCGCACTTATAAAATCAATTTAGGTTCTTTAAGGGAGTGGTAATGTTTTTAGGCCATACCCTGAAGCATATGAGATCCGCTAAGCAGATCTCAGACGTGTTCACAAAAGCAGTTGAGCAGCATGGCTGGCAAAACGCTTTCAGGTTACTCGGCATAACTATATCCGTGCCCGAAACGGTGAAGCGTTCCATGACCGGTTTCAAGCTGTAGCAAAATCAAACGCCACAATGAATTTAACTTGTGTGCTTGTAGGCCTCGAAGATCCGTAAGCAAAAACACAGGCCTTGATAGGACTCAACATCTTGTTAAACGAGAAACAAACGCGAACGGCTGCCGTCAGGCGCGCCACACCCGCCGGATATCCGACCAGGGGGGATTACTTGTGGATGCATACTAGCTGTTAACAATTGTGATCACCTTAACCGCAGACAAAACAAAGGACACACACCGTGATGTGTTAGCCTACTACAACAACATTAGTGGTTGTGACTGCTTTGGACGCATTGATAATTGCCACCAAGAATTTTGTGACACATTAGCAAACCCTGTCAAGCCTTTAATTTTGATAAACAAATTTACTAGGACATCCGGCTGAGCTGCTTTTTGGCTAGCGCCACGCCCCTTGGCCAAGTGCAGGTTTGTATCTTTGACACAATCGGAAGACACAATCCCGGAGCCGGCATCAGAGCATCTAGCATCTAACCATAGAGACTGGGAGATACAGAGAGACAAGCGGAGACACAATCGGGACATACAGAGAGACAACCGGGAGACGGACCAGACTGCAAGACACAGGGAGGCAAGCCCCGGAGCCAGCGTCACAAAATCTGGCATCTGGCCGTAGAGACTGGGAGACACAGGGGTGACGAGATTGGGAGACAAAGGCACAAACGGGAGATAAGACCCCGGAGCCACGGGAGACAAACGATAAGCGGGAGATATCAAAGACACAAGCCAAAAGAAAACAGAGCCAACGTTAGAGACACACCCCGGAGCCGGCGTTGCAGCATCTAGCATCTAACCTAGCAAGCATAGAGAGACAAACGGGCTGCTCTCTAACCGCAGAAATTGAGGGAGACAAGCGGGGAAACACAACCCCGGAGCCAGCGTCACAGCATTGCAGAGACTGCGAGATATAGGAGGTGATAGAGAATGTTGGCCCCAAACCCGGAGCCAATAACACAGCTGGCAATGTTCTTGCAGTTGTTGGTGTGCTTCGGGTTGTGCTTGGGGTTGTTGTTCTTGCTGCTGCAATTGTTGTTGGCTTGCGATTCCAGTCGTCGCTGCTGCTGTTGTTGCCGCTGCTGTTGCTCTTGCAACTCCAGCAGTCGTTGCTGCTGCTGCTGCTGTTGCTGCTGCAGCAATGGCTACTGTTGCAGTTGTTGTTGTGCTTGTTGAGAAGAGGACTGGGAGTATCCCTGCAGCTTCTGCGATGGCTAACTGGGCTGTCTGGCCGGCTGTAAGCTTCTCGCGCCGCCTTCACAACGTGTCAAAAACAAACCTGTAATTGGCCTTATCGCCTGGCAATCCCAATAAAGAATTGTTTGCCGTCTTGCACCTCCATTGCTCCGTGGGGTCCCCCTTAAGGCACAGGTATTGTTCTGAATGTGACGGGGGGTTTCGAAATGCAAAAGCAGCCACATACATGTCTGCTTGTCACCCCCCGTTGGTTGGTGTTTCAGGGCAACCCTAAAAAGTATGCTAAGTTGGAGGGCGCTTTGGTAAATTGGTTGGTTTATTTTTGATGGGCGTTCTGCGGAGTGCCCTGAGCTTTTGGGGGGTCCGCGCCTGCGTCTGGCGTATGCAGCACTTGTCGGCTCCTTGGAATGGATTCTAGATGCTAGAAGATAGCTAACAGCAGATAGGGAGCGGTGAGTGAATCTGCGAGCCATTCCTTTCTTCTCGCCTCTCCATCCAATTCATTCCCTCTAATTCCCTTTCACCTCTGTATCTAAGATATGATTAAGAGGTAAAAAAGGGATAATGGGAAATAACGACTCAAGGAATTTATATCTGTTCGTTACCTCATGTCCTTCCTATGCCTTCACTCCCTAACAATATTTCGCGATTTGGAAAACAATATAAAAATAAATCATAATATTCCAACAAATGTCCTTATTCAAACTCAAAAAATATAGGTCATTTTGTTTTTCAAAAAATATATAATAAATATAATCTAATAAATAAAATATATATATATATTTATCAATTATAATTCATATTTCAATTTTAAAAGTACAATACAAAATTTTAAAACCTAAACATATAATCAAATTTCACAATTTATTAAACACAAATAACATATTTGTAAAAAATAATAATATTTAAAACAATTCAATACAATTTTTATTTATAATCAATAACCAACAAATATATATATATATATATATATATATTCAAAATCCAACCTTCAATTCCTTATAATATATTAAATTTCAATACAATAAATTTAAATAATTCTCTATTTTTCCCCACAATAACCCGAATATCTAAATCGATCTAAATCATTCACCAAAAAAATTATCTAAATGTGCCAAATCAGCTATGCATATTAATCCTCAGTCCGGATCTCAAATTTCAATCCACAACGAGTTGTTTCATCAAAACATATTTGTAGGTATTAATTCAAATAGGCCTCGCCTGGCTAGTCCTTTTCTCTCGACGAGGTGAAGCTCCGTCATTTACCAAGAAATATAGAGTTTGCCAGGGTTGGGCTTAAAATGGCGTAAATGCTTTGACCATCGCCCTTGCCTGGCACAAAATCCCCAAAAGGGGATGCCCAACCCCAGTCATTGCCTTTGTGGTGCCCACAAAGGGTATTGTGGATGCCAAAGCGTCGTGCCGTAGAGTGGCCCAGGCCAACAACGTACTTGGAGATGCACTTTGCCTCTTGAAGATAATTTTCAGCGTCACCAGTATTCAGTCCTTCCTGAACGACAACAACTCACACAAACACTGAAAACCCGAAAACGGAGTGATTGACGGCCGATTCTTGTCTGCGTTCTAAACAGCTCATTAGAATCCAGCTCAAAAGCTTAGCAGTCCATTCCAAATGAAATACCGGTATGGAGGAGCAAAGGGGAAATTCAGGGGCACAGGTTCGCCATTGATTTGTGTGTCCGCTTTTTTTGGGGAACCCCTTTTTGGATGGGCTTGAAGGGAAGCACCTGGAGGGGTCCCAAAAATATGCAACAAGGAGGAAAGAACGAACAAGAGGAGCAAGAACACAAGGATAGTCTCCGGAGATTGCTCAGAATTTTTGCTTTCGGTCAGTCAGCTCACTTCAAGTCTCACACCTCGCCTCTCCAAGGACTCGAAATTGGGAAAGCCAACCCGACGCGCAGCCCTACCGCGTCCGAGTGATCAAGCCGCAGGCCGTGCTAATTAGGGAGCATTTTCCTCCCTCGAACCGAGGGAGGGTGTGTTCCATTGGTTTGTTACCCGAAATGTCTGGGCCAAGTACTGTCTTTTCTTCTTTTGACGCTAACCAGTGAAAAAGCCAAAAGCAAACGCGCCATTTAGCAGGTTTCTTTATTTTGAGACAACCCCCCAAACATTTCTGAAATAGAGGAATGCCAAACAAGGACAACTACTGGCTGCGGTTCAGTTTGCACTCTGGTCCGATACATATTTGCCCCAAACACATGCATGGGAAGTTGCGGATCTATGCCCGCCACTTTTTCGGTTCCAGAAACTAGATAACACACATAGCCATTTGAATCATGCCTCCCTATGGCAGCGGCGACCTGTCTTCGCTTGAATTTTCATAGCAAGTCATGCAGCCAACCAAAAGGATGGCGCACTATAAGGAGAATTCCACGCGCTTGCTTTGATGCCCATCGCGTGGAAATGCCAGCTCCCGACATGAATTCGGCAAGCATTTCGCTGGATCCGCCTTTCTTGATCGTTTTAATCACGAGGGGATCGTCTAATTATTGAAAAGTTCCACTGCAGCTTTACAATGTGCAGCAGAGAGGGCCGACCGTTGACTTTGGATCAGACCTTGCCCATACTCCGCCTGCACAGCAACACGCGTTGCGCAACGCAGGAGGATCATTTGTCAGGCAGACTTTCAAACTGTGCTTCACAAGCTACAAAACGGGGCACCTGGGCTTGTCCATCTTGATGCTCGGGATCCTTTTTGCGGGTCGCTTTCAGGGTTGTGCGATGCCTTTCTTGTGTTTTCGTATTTTTAATCCTTCTTTTTTTTCCGGGTATTTTGCATGGGTTTTCCACTTCAAGACCACCCACCCGAATCTGTCTCGTTGGCTTCATAGCGTCCAGCCTTGCAGGTTCCGCGGCTGAGCAGTGTCCGATGCCTGCCTCGCCGGCTTCTCCGTCCGACTCAATCTTACGACACCCAACGACCATTTAGATTGGGCCCGCATCTTTGAATTGTCATTTTAATTACTCTTGTGGGGGGGAAGAACTCCTTTTATATAAATGCGCATTTCACAACACGCATGGAAGTTGACATTGGGATTCCGCAACAGGAGCATCGTGTTCCAACCATCTGCCAGCTGCGGGCAGGCCAAAATCAAATCCGGGGACTAGGGTCTACCCCACGGGAAAGAATCCAATGGAGATCTGCACATACTAGGTGCTCTAATGGTTCCCTCGCCATCCGGCACAAGAACGCCCTGGTTTCGTAAGGGTAACCTTGCCCCGCAGTCATTCATCCGAAGAGCGCCCCTTTGTAGCAAAGAATATGTGTTTTCCCATGCTTTTTGGTTTGGTGAGATCGGTTGGGTGTGTCAAACCAGTGGGCCTTCTTGAGTTTCCCTTTAAAGCACTGGCAATCCCAAGGGTGCCCTCAAGCGGAGCCTTTGAGGCCAGGACCGAAGGGCACATCGGTCCACCCAGAGTTGGAGGTGAAAGACAAACAGCCAGTCCTCGGTCCATCGGTGCACCCCCCGATCGACGGACATACACACCGCATCGCTGACTGGAGCTGCAGTCATCACCGCTCCCAGGACCAATCTACAATCACCTTTAGGTGCTTCACTCAACATGTGACGGTCAACATTCATTGCAGTGAAGAGGTCGACACTGTTGCTGCATAGAAGCCAGGGTGATTTTACCCTTCTTTTGATGGGTAAACTAATGTAAACCAAAACATACAAGGAACCCAAGAGCTGTCTGTTTATCCCGACTCAAGTCTCTGAGCGTGGCACCATTCTCCTCCGCACTTATTGAGCTCAGTCAGCAAACTCTGCAAATCCCGTAATGGTGTCTCTGCCTGGGATGGGATGACTGAATGTGCGCGACACCTGAACAAATCGTGGAGCCGTTTACGGCACCATGACACCAGCGGATCAAAAAGGCCTCGGATCATTAACCATGCTAAAGAACTTGGAAAGAAACTATGCACCATGGAAAAGCATAATGACCACGTAACCGCAAAACAAGAATAAGAAAAACAGCAAAATAGATTGCCATCTGACCAACATGTGCTATTGTTTTGTTCATGTTTGACAATGAGCCCCTCAAACTGAGGACGCTCCGTGTTGAACAGTTTTGAACACGGGCCCAGGGAAGTTGGCAGGCGGTTGGCCGAACAAGCAGCGACCTCTCAGCCCCAGACTGTGCGCTTCCATGCCAAACCTGAGTCTGACTCGTCTCAGTGTCTTTGGCACATCGAAGCATTGGCTGTAGATCTAGGGAATACCTTCCCCATTCTTTCCAGGGATCCTTCTTTTCAGGAAACCATCAAACACCCAGGGGAAGCAGCCGGTTTTTAAAAGAACGATGGTTGAAAAGAATGGGGAATCAACCCCTAGAGTAGAGTTTCACGCAAATCTTGGTCTCAGTTGCTCTCACATAAAGCTGACATCTGACTGAGCCAACCGCATATGCGCAGCATGAGGGGCAAAATCAGCGCAAACCTTGGGACCACGGTGCAAAGTTGAGTGGAGCGTCACATCGGCACCGTCGTCTTGCCGGCTTTGACCAAACAAAATCTCCTTTGGCAATTTCAAGCATAAGGCTTTCAAGTGAGCCATGAGGCCACTCATTGGCTAATTACTCTCCTGCAAATTAACATCAACCAAACAAACACAGCTGTCTCTTCAAAGCGGGTGCTTTTGGGGTTTCATGTTCTCCAGAAGAGCAATCAACCGTTCCGCCGTGGGATGATGAGGTGTGTGCCCAAACATGGCTATTTCCTTTTGGAGCGCTGGTCCCCAAAAAATGGGTTTTACTTTTTGGCTTCCCTTCAAAGGACACCCTCCCAAAAGGAGGAAGTGCGGCCTACGTTGACCCAAATGCACTCATCTGAGGTGCTCACAGGTGGCTCTGCGGCATGTGTTCCATTTCGTTGATGTAGAGGACTGCCGTAGTCCTCGGCAACCCGTTGCTCGGTGACATTCATCCTCCCACTAAGATCGAAACCAGCAGAAGACCCCTTTTAGAGGAACATAGCCTTCCAACTGACTGGGTGGGAGGGTTTTCGGGTCGAATCCACAACCGAAACCCTCCCACCACTAAGACCCGGAGTCTCAACAGGCGCTTCAAACAGCGGTCTTAACATAGGTCCCGAAACCAATTCACTTTTGGTACTTTGGATTTGTCTCAATGGTGAACCACCTTCAAAACAAGTTGTGTTGGGTTCCTTTCCAACCTGCCCCCCAAGAAACCAAAGAGTACCCTCGCAACAACAGGCTTTTGCTTGATTGAGCAAACAGGGAGTCTGGGCGCTGCTCGCATGAATCCATAGCAAAGAAGCCGGGACAAGCGATGGTGAGCTATCCCGTCCCAAAAACACCCCTCTCGATTCTTCCCCAAATGCTTCTTGCTCGGATTCTGTGGCTTCCAAAACCTCAACAAATCACCCAACTTGACTTCATGGCTATCAAACTTGAATTGGATCGGATTCCGAGAAGCCCTGCTTGATTGGCCCAAGCCCGCGACAAAACGCCCCGTCCCGACATGTGACACATGAACATGTCGCGCGTCGGCCCGACCTCCGACCTGAGGCCTTGTCTCGTTGTTCGTAGGAACGCATTGCTGTGTGCAAGCGATGTACTCCTCAGGGGTCAGGTTCGACCTGGCGGAGCGAGGCAATCAAGGCCTGAAGAAACCTTCTCGGCTCTTAGAAGAAAGTCTCTGGGAAGGGCGCAATGACCCTCCTTATATCCAGAAGGGGCTTTTCCCTTTGGGAAAAAAAAACATGGTTCAAAGTCTTGCACTCTGAAGACAAAGATGAGGTATGCAAATGCAGCATCTCGTTTTTCCCAACATTCTTGCTCCCAAAACATGCAATTAGAATGCCAACCACCGAAAGTCGACGCCTTCTTTCCATGCTTCGGAAACACAATGTTTGATTCTGGACTGTGCTAAAATCTGGGGGCCCTCCAAATGGTTGGTTTCACATTGGTTCCCCTTACAAAGGATCCAAATGGATTCCAGGCCAATGCAAAACTGCACCTTGATGGTCGAAACGGTCAAAAGGCCGAAACAAAACTTCGGCCTAAAGTGATCGCATCCGCCGATCAGCAAGAAGGTGACTGCCTGCCCCAGGTGAACGCCACGGCGACAAACAAAAACGCAAGGAGTATCAAGGAGTTTGCAAGAGCTGGCGTTTCCTTTGACACGCCACGCTGTTTGAGGGTTCTCCGTTTGGAGACACACCCACGTCCTTATCTACTAGTTGGCAATACAGCAACATTGAGCAACACCCAAAACCCGAGCTGACTGTTGGTTCTATAAAGATGGTTGTCAAAGGAAGTTTGGAAGGAACTTATGTAGCGGAACTAATTAAGTTAGCTGTATGCAAAATTGGAATGCATGCGCAAGCGCGTGATCTTTCAAGAGTGCATTGCATACATTGCGGGTGAAACAGGTCGCAAAATGCTGGAGAACCACCTCGGTGGCGACGCCTTTACGGAGGCGGGTGCGGAGCGGACTGCGGGTGGGTCGACAAATGATTCTTACTTCGCTCGTGCAACTCTCGCGGATTTTCGGGGGTCGACCTCGAAAAACCTGTTTTGTCTTCTTCTCCTTGAGCAACAATGCGGACGTGGTTTTCTGCATGTTTCACTTTCGTGGGCTGGAGGGAGAGAGAAAGAGCGAGAGAGAGAGAGAGAGAGAGAGAGAGAAAGAAAGAGAAATGGAAAAAGACAGGGAAAAAGAAAAAGAGAAAGAGAAGGATAAGGAGAAGAGAAGCAGACAGAGCAAACAAAACGAAGAAAACGAGGAAGAGAGAACACAACGAGAGAAGAGAAAGAGGAAAACATAGAGAAAGAGAAGGAGAATGAGACAAACATAATGCGTGAGAGAGATGGGGAAAACGAGCGTGCTGCAAAGACATCTTTGAAACTTCTGTCCTCTGGCTCCCGCCGGCTTTACAGGAAAAAGGTTCACATTGCCCTTACTGCAGCCCTCATGTTCAACCAAATAAGCACCAAACAACCTGCCAAAATGGCCCTGTTGGGACTCTGTTTGGGCGGCACCCATAGATGCAACAGGAGTACCGGTCTTTCTTGGACCCCTGGCTTGCCCCTGCTCGTTTGGCTTGGTTCGGACCTTACACGTACCTTCCTCATTTGCCAAAAGGAGCTGGGGGTCAAACGGTCAAACCCCCAAACCACGAATCCACCACCAAGCAAGGGGTACCTTAAACACCTTAAAGGCAACATGTCAGAGAACACGGGACACTCTGCTGCCAAGGGAACCCCCCCTCAAACTGGAGCCAGCTTGGGGTCTGTTTTTGTTTTTGTTTTCACACATGTCATGTCATGTCTCTAAGGGGAACCGCCCAAACACCTGCACATTTTGGGGCTGCCCCTTGGAGACAAACCACTTGCTCGTTTGCACACTGACCATCCAGCCAGCATCACTTTCTCCAGGGCCTCCTTTGGCCAGGACACGACCTCTGGGAGGTTCATTGCCTCAGCCATTGAACTCAAAACGGGTCCCCTCTCCCGCCTGGCTGAGGGTAGTTCGGTCTCCCATAATTTTTGGGCAGGACTTTTTACAAGGCGAGACTTGTCTGGGGCCTCCCAAAATGATCTGGAGAAATCTCGCTAGGGCGAATGGCCTTCCCCCCAACCCTCAGTAGATGATACCGCTGCCTACATGTCAACTTACCCCTGTCCCCATTACAGCCGTGGCTGCAACCTACTTATGTGGGATGAGGCGAGCTCAACGCAAAGCTTTGGTCAGGGAAAGAAAAGAAACCACAAACCGGTTGAACGTTTCTTCTCCGTTAAACAATGGGGACCCCCAAACTTGGGACCGCCAAGTCTTGGCTCATACTCAGTCTACATGGCAAAAGAAGGACTCAAGCACTGCAAATTTAGGTCCTGTTTCACCAAAACCATGCGGGGCGGGGAGGGGGGGGGGTTAGTTGGTGGCTCTGAAGCCGAGAGCACAACAAAATTTGTGTTCGGAGTCGGAGAGATGATGATGTGGTGCATGATTTGGTGCATGATAGGCCAACTCTGAACCTTCTGAAATAATTTTTCTCAAAACTCCCTCTGAGGAGTTGAAGAAGCATCCTGGTGCCAACTTCCCATTCTGTGAACCCCATCTTTAGTAACCAAGTGAGCCACTTTCGGGACCTGGAACACTCAGGTCCCGACCCCTGGCTTCGGGAAATGTAAGGAACTCGCCCCATGTCCTAAATGTACCATTGACTCATCACATCTTGAACCCTTGTAGGTACCCTCAGGCGACCTGACCTCAACAACCAAAACACAGAAGTGGAGGCTGCGACCTGCAAAATGGTATCCCAAAAACCACCGAAACGGGACTGAAACGGGTGTTTCTCAAACTTAGGGGGACCTTCAGACTCTCTCCGGGTGGTTGGCTTCGCCTCCGTTGGATCCCCGGGCGCATCCTCCGTTGATGACCACGGCCGGAGGCAATGCAGTGCCAACCGCCTCCCAAAGCTTCGGCAGAACCACCTGCCCACCTGCGCCGCAGGTCTTGCTGTTTTTCTCCCCCAAAAGCCTTTTGGGTCTCGGGTCTCTCGGATGGCTCAGTGGTTGGGAGCGGTTCCGGGCGAGGGGTCCGGATTGCGAAAGGGTGCAAAGGGGGCTGCTGTTGGGGATACCGTCTGCGTTTGGTTTAAGGGGTCTGGGCGAAAGGAAATGATCGGTCTTGATCGAAGGGGCCTGAAAACATGTCAAGAGGAGGCATCATTATTTCTTGCGGCCAATTGGAGGATCATAACAATGTAGGGGCTTTTTTGGCACCCAAGCCGAAAGAGTATCGCCAAGCGTCCTGGAACCTGCCCAGAACAGGAATCTCCCAGCCCCAAACTATGGCTACGACACCACTGACGCTGTTGTGGAAAGCAGAAAGCCCCGAATCTTTGAGCTAGTTGCCCCTTTCTGTGATACCAAAGTCGCAATCCGGTATGCCTGCGTTGTACGTAACTTTAAATTACTTCAACAACACACATGCGCACAAAGTGGCCCTAAACCCCCAACTTTCCGCAAGCATGCCTTGTCTTTCGCAGGTAAATAGGCTTTATCGAATTGAATTTCGGAAGTCGAGGCGAGGTACAAGAACAGCTCATCAGAGGGTATGTAAGTGCCCTTGAGAGGAAACGAACATGAAGTCGCTGACATGCAGCTAGATGGTCACCGCCCTACGGAATTTGACGGGCGCCTTCCCCCCAAGACAAAGACCAAAGCTAAATTAAATGGGTGTTTCGTTCAGGGAAACAAAAACCATTTAACACTTTGAATGATTGAATGGAAATCAAAGGACATCAACCATTTGTGGGAAGCCCTTTTAGATGGTGTTTGAAGGGACATCAACAAATACAACACACATATTGCGGGACGTTGCTTGCCAAACACCCACCAGGACAGTAACCATGTGTCACGTGGGAAGCTGGTTTGGTTGGTGTGGAGAGGAAAGTCAAAAGGAAATCAACCATTTGTGGGATACCCTGTTGGCTGGCGCTGAAAGGGACAAATCAGCAGGAAGCCCGCCTTTTTGCTCCCAGCGGCCTACCCTCTCATGGAAGTCGTAGGCGGTTTCAAGACTGTCTCCCCGAAAACCCTTCTGTCAGCTTCCTCAAACAGGAAGGGACCCAACCGCCAGCGACATGTCTGTCAGCTACCCAACTTTAAAGTTGCTTAGAAGGGCAGCTTTCTCAACCAAACTTTCCCGATCCAAAGTGACGGGTCCCTTAATTCCAAGTCGCCTCGAGAGCCCACCACCAAACCTGGCGATTGCATCCACGCTCCTTGACTCGGAGTCAAGGACCTACAAGTGAACCACTTTGTCGCAGTAAAGTACGGGAAAAAAAGCAACATGCAACATCTCTCGCGCGATTGGCATGGACCCGCAACAACAACCTTAACGCAGCGGAGGAAACAGGTGAAAGGCTTCTGGCAACTAGAGCCGCATTTTGGCCAGCCAACCTTGTCAGCTGCTCCCTGAAGCTCAACATAACTCCCTCCCAGAAGAAAAAGCAACAGACAAATCAATCTTAAGCTTCTTTAGATCGAAATGAGGGACCGATAGCCCGCTCATGTCGGTCCTAGATCTTTGCTCATCTTGGGTCCTAGTCAGCTTTTGGGCCTTGGACGTGTTCAGCCTCATTTTGGTCGTAGTTTCAAAACATATATACACACCGACACATTTTCGTCCCAGATGTCCTAGTCAGGCACGCTGCCAAATCCGAGCGATCAAACCAATCAAACAGTGATGCTGCACCCCAAGAAGGTGGTTGAACCCAAAGGTTGGTGCTTAAGGCATGGAAGGGCACACCTCGAACCACAAGGAACGCCCAATGCTGAAAGGTGTGGGCAGATACGCCCCTGCAAATTGAGATGGAACTCAAAAGGGGTTCTCAAAGGAGCCTCCGCTGGAAAATGTGGGCTTGGGATTGCATGTTGATCTGCAGAAGAGCAGACATGTTTAACCCACCATTGCTTAAACAATATACTTCAGGCGTCCCTTTCAAATTTCCCTTTAAAAGGGCCAGGGGTTGGGGTTCAGTTGCAACACCTCTCCTGTTCCAGGTCCCACAAAACAGGCCGGCAAAGCAGTCAGCAAGCATTGCATCACCCACAACCTGCAGATTGCTCCGTGACAGGCCTAAAATCTGGGCACCCAAAATTAACGACACATTCTTCACTTTAAGGGGGAGGTTCCCTGATGTCATCCCCGCATCCACTGTGGCTACGATTTGCTGCATAGCGGGACTTGTAACAACGATGAGATCTGAACTTTGATTGGTGTGCAGGTGGAACATTTCTAGTCGTGTTTGTCATCATCTTTACGACGCTTCGACGCTCGATTTCTGCGTGCTGCCTGGATGGTGCGGCTTTCGCTTCAAAGCCCTTGCACAGCGACATAAAACAGCTCACATTGTGAGATGCGCGTACGGAATCGAGAGAGACACAGTGCCTTTGGGTCATCTTTCAAGGGAATCGCTGTTCATTGCCCCACCTTGTTCGAGGCTTGGACGTTTTCCTCTTGCGACTTTTGCTCGTGCATGGTTAGCATGACAAACCAAGTCAGCGCTCAATTCAATGAGGTTTGCGAATTCAGAACTCCGAGAACTTATGGCATGGCACCCACAGTAAACCTTCACAATCTCAGTCTCACATTCTCTCAAAATCAAGATAGACAATTGTCAAGTCACAATCCCATGATCGAAAATTGAAGACAATCGCACGATCACGATTTAATCTGCCCAGTGCCGCATTGCTTCTCAGAAGTCGGGTCAGTCCCTTGAAGCCTGGTGATGTTTAAGCGACCTCTTTTGAAACGTAGTTTTGTTTAAGCCACCTCATGATTCCAGTGTTCTCTTTCGGGCACCAGGAGCAAAGCAACAAACAGTACGCGAACCGATCCAAAACCTTACGAACCAACCAAAAAAAACAAGAGACCCTCTGTATATATATATACATGTCTTCCACCAAGTCACCCCAAATCAAGGGACATGTATATATATATATATACACATACAGTTTATTCCACCAAGTCCCCCACCCAAAAAAACAAGCCGAGGTCCGCGCATCCAATGCAAAACTGGAAAGGTTCGGGGCAGGTGCTCCATGCTGCCACGACCTAAGGCAAAAACTCGCCGGTCGCTTCGTCGGAGTGGGCCCAACGGGTATGGGTCAAAAATAGGTACCCAAAATGGAACCCTGGCAAGTGGGAACATGGACCAAATTCTGTGGTCCCCTGGCTGATATAATTCTGACCCACACCCAAATGGCTAATTTGCCCTCCCTCCCTCCCCCCAAAAAAAGGAAAACACAAAGACGCCCAATTTCAGGGCTGCGGTTGAAATGAAATCCACGAATCTATGATACGTTTGGCCGAAGCCCAAAGACATGTTCCCCCCATATGAAGAGGGGATTCCCAAAAGTAGCACAGAAGTGCGGATAAACCCCGCTCAATTTGGCTTCCCCCCCAAAAAAAAGGAAAAGCACAAAAACACGCGGCGCGCACATGGGCTCGAATCTCAATGAGGGGCCCTTTGAAGGACATCAGTTGCATGAGGGTTTTTATGCCCACCAACCCTTTTTATCCGCTTCCAGGTTCATAGCCACTTGAGTCTGGCAACCATCTTGGGGGGCTCTTCTGTTTTGTCTCTCCCAATCCATGGAAGTGATGGAAGGGGCCTTCGAACACTCCGCAATTGTTCAGATCCATGTCCGCTTGGATGGATAAGATCTACTTGGCACCAGATCCTAGGCTGCATATCTCACAGTATTCGTAGGGTTTCACTCATCCCAACCATCAGCACAAGGACAATCGCTTCCCAATCGGTTCCCATGTCAACATGGCGGGAATTCAGGCATCGAATGCCTTCGTACTTGGCATCCTAGTTTAGTCATGCGGTCTCACACGAACGGCGTCGACAAACCAGCGATGACAGGCTTCAAAGTCGTGGACTCTGGATAGGCGGCCTTGTCAAGAGGATGATAGTCTTCCAAACCCCTCTGCCAGCCCCTATAATTGTTGCAAAAGGGATATAATATATCTTAAAAGAGGATTCCCCCCCTTTTGGATGGCTCTTGAAAGGAACCAACATCAAGGCAAGCACCTTACACCCATGTTCAACAACCTGAATCCGCATGAATCACCATTTGGCGATCTCCAGAGGCTTAAGCCAAGAAATTTGCTGGACTTCCAGAGGCTTAAGCCTGCAATAAGAGGGTTATGAATTCTCAGAAATATCAGAAATGCTGTGGGTGGACGAAATCCTGCACCAATTTGAAACGATTGGAAACCATTGTTTGTTGGTATTTACAGGGGAATCATCATTCCAGGGTCTCTTAGGTGGTGCAGGATTTCGTCCACCCACAGTAGGGTTTGCAACTGGGGTTTATTGGATTTCAAGAGGGCTATTCATTCCCAATAAATCGGGTTTGGGTTCACCCCCTGCGGCAACCTTTCGGCGGTCAAGCATCCTCGATTCCTTGGCTCCCCGCTCTGGATACCTGTCGTAGGGTGCCATAGAAGAGCCTAAGGTCGCGAGCGACACGCTGAAGTGCCGCATGGCAATCTTGGCAGTTTAACAATTGGGGGATACCGTTAAAGCCAGAGACAAACAAACCCACTCAACTTACGTCATAGCTTGCTCGTCCCCCCCCCCCCTCACCAGAAAAAAAATACAAAAGGTGAGCTCGCCATAACACCTAGCAGCACGCACATTGCATCTGTCTTTGCACGGACAAACTTGATCAACATTGCACATTCCACAAGGACAGGGGGAAATCGGGTGGGCCAAATATGTTCTCCCAAAACTTTTGGACTGCCAGTAGTTTTGGGTCATTTGTATTCTCAGGCGACCCCAATGTTTGTCTTGAACCAGAAGCTCAGATGCCACAAACTCAATAGCTGAATGTCACAACTTCTTACGGACAAATGCACAAACCCTCAGAAGGCCGGCCAAGGAAACATTGGGCTGGCCTCCTATGTCCTCCCTACTGTAGACTATCGACCATAGTTGTCATTGATTCATATGGGTGTGGGTCAAAACCAATAGTACCATTTTGGGGTAGGTGCACCACCCATTTTAGTCTATTTTAGTGGGGATTGGGATGGTCACTGGGGGTACGGGATTTTGACCCATAGCCATATGGGTGTTTCTCAATATCAGGGACCCCATCCAGGTGCTTGTATGTTCTTCTGGTTTCGCGAATCGTTTCCCTTCCAATACCACCCCATCATGGTAGCCAAAAAATAACAAGTTCCCCCCCCGCCCGAAATTGAAGCCATCCCTCACAAATACGTACCAACCAACCGGGGCTCCCTTCTTTCGAGAACCTGAGTCGGATTCGCAAAGCTCTGAGCGCTCAACCCAGCACTTCAACGCTATAAGTCATACTCTGGCCTCGGGGGCGAGTAGCCGTCACGTTCGGCGACGACTTTTGCCCAGGTTCAGCCACTGCTCTTTGTCGAAGCCAGCCATTTCCCCCTGGGTTTTTGTTGTCGTTGCATTTTTTGGTGTCCCGTCGTTTTCCCTGGAAAGAAGGATTTCTGGGAAGAATGGGGATACCCCGAGAATGGTGGGAGAATCTGACTGGAGGCCCCAGTACTTGGCAAGTTTCGTCAAGGGACGTTCAGGTGGGTTCCGTGCTAGTGGGGAACTGTTAGCTTGGTGCAGTTTCATGCGCTCAGATTCATCAGCCCAGAATAAGGGCTGCCCAACAAGCAGCGCAGGATTGATGTGATAAGGGACATATTACCTGGGCTAAGTCTAGCTTGGGGAACTCAACAATGGAACCCTGCTTTAACCTCAAAGCCAAGACGTCTTGGTTCAACTCAGGTCACACAAGTTGGTCCCCTAAATGACACGTCATTGCTGGATCAACCACATAGGATCTCTAACAGAAGACCTTCCAAGTCGTCGTATATTAGAAAATCACGAAGCCTGGCTTGCCCACTGTCTAATTATATTTTATATCTCTCTTTTTTGTTTTCAAGGTTTACGTCTTCCTCCGGTTCATTCGTTTCCCAGTGACGCCTAAGGATTGATTCCGCACACCATTTGTGTCTGAGATCCACCTCTGTTTGCCCGGCCTCACCTAGAGATTAATGGCCGGTCATGTTTGATTCCGATTGAGAAAAGACTCAGCAGCAATAAACATGCAGCGTCTACAACAAGGGCTCCACAAAAGATGCAATCGCAGCACGATCCTCCAACAATCCTGTTCGGAATTCTGGGTGCCAAATAGGTTGCAAAGTATCAACACAAATCCCGTCTCCGGTGTTTCTCGTGTGGTTTCCCCTACAAACAGTACAGCACCCAAAAAACCGTACGCTGACTCTCCCGAGCCCGGGGCTCAATTCCGCATACACGGCTCCTCAGCTCGGAGCTCATGTGAGTTCTCATGTGGCAAATGATGGGACCCAAGGAATGGCGGGTTTTCCCTTTGAAACGACCCCCTACTCCAAATACCCTCTTTTTTGGGGTGTGATGTCGACCCTCTACTAAAAAAGGAGGTATTTACCATGGAAAACCAGGTTCTACAAAAAAATCCCTAGAAAAAGGTGAGTATTTGGAATTTGGAGTAGGGGGAATCTTTAAAGCATACCTTCAAACAAAAACACCATGCTTCTGCCTGATGCTGCACACGAAACAAAATCCTTTCAAGGGACCAGGAAACCATCCCTTTACCCACTTGAAGACCAATCCTGCATGTAGCACCCTGGCTGATGGTAACGCTTCAAGTCCAGCCATAACCGTACCCGCCACGTTGCATTCTGGGATTCTTGTGAACAGCAAACGGCACCAAACCCCCGGAAGAAATGGGGTCCGTTACTTGGCCGCTTCGGTTTGCTTGCATAAGGGCTTATACACCCAGTTAACCTCATTCATGGGATGGATCACCCCCTTGAAATTGCCAAATAGAGGCGGCCAAGTAGGCAAGCAGATTGGCATGGTAGAAGTGTTTGACAACAGTGGTTATGTAGTTGGCGTATACAAACTTGCTAACACCTACTCTTAAGTTGTCGGCAATATCCATGGTTCTAAGTGGGGAGTGGTTGATCAACACAACTGTGCGACTGCGAGAACTACCCGTCTTGCTGGTTTTTCCTTCGCAGTGCCATGGCCCTTTTAGTGAAACCCAGCTTAATCTTGTGCGAACCGATCTTGGTACCCAATGCCTTTCAGGGCAAACCGGAAATGAGGAATCCAGACCTTCATCATTCTTGAGCTCGGTTTGCGCCTGAATCAATGAGCTCCGTGGAATTTGCGCAGGATGTGTGAATTTGGCGCCTTGCAGTGGACAAAACTCTGCAGTTGGGATGGACAGGGGCTGAGCTATTCAACCACCAATCCCAACCATATTTTATCCATCCACCGCATGGTTTCCTCAGGGTCAGAAGGCGGCTGACTGGGGATAGATAAAACAAATCAAGGATTTGGACCCCGCCCCCCAAAAAATGGGCGGCCTTCCTATTGGCTTCCCTTTCAACACCCCAAAACGTGTACCTTCCGCCAAGAACCACTCAGTTGTTCAGTGACCCTGGAAAAAAGGGAACCCTTTTGCGGGAAGACCATTTTTAGTGGGGCAGCCACCAACAAAAAAAAGATGAAAAACGAAAAGAATTGGTGGCACTGAATAACTGAGACCACCACGTTGCGGCGGATCCGCGGATCCGATCGCTGGGTGCCCCGGCCGTTGGCTCGTGTCCCTGCGCCCGGGGCCACTACGATGACCCGCTTCCGAGCCGGCTTCACGGGCTTCGGCCTGCGACATCTCCGCGGCACTCCGCGCGGGTCGCGGCCCATGGGAAAACGCGTGGGGGGTTACCTCTATGGTCGACTCAGACCTAAATCGGTCTTCCCTAAACTGGACTTCCAAAATGTGGTCCCTCAAATTTGGTCTTGCTTAAATTGTTTGAAGCTCAGGAACTCTGGGAGTATACATTGTGAATTGTGACACTGGGTACATGTGCCATGTTCAAAACTTCTTATGTCATGGGCATGGCTCCCTCAATAAGAACCCGTACACATCATTGTCCTCTGTTGCAAGCAATCAGAACCTGTGTACTGGAACCCGTGAACGGGTCCGCACGAGGGGGGCTCCGGTTCTTTTTGGAAGGTTTCTACGCTTCTATGCCTGGTTGCGCGACTTACACATAAGGATTCTAAGGACCCTTCCGGGCAAATTATTCCAATTTCACCCACTAGAACCAACCAGACCTTCAACATGAGCAAATTTGTCATCTCAAGGTGAGCTCCTGATTTAAGACAAGGTGTAGATCCTTGCACTGGTGGTTTAAAACCCCTGCGTGTCTATCCATACCCGTCAAATTTCCTTGCGATTTCCTGAACGGCCCTTCTCTTGGTCTCGAGATCAAGGTAGCTCGTAAAGAGGGAGGTTTCCGCAGCTCAACCAAGAGCTAATGGGCCATCAGCCAACCTCGCACTCACTTGGAATGAACCTCAAACATGTCATTTATAGGGGGTGTTCTGTGAACCCAAGTTGCTGAATAGGGTGTGAGTGTGTGTGTGTGTGTGTGTTTTTGTGTCTTTCTCCATACTCAGAGCAAATCCTTCACTTTGAGGAAAACGTCCGTACTCTCCGGGTCAAAAAGGTTCGCTGACAGTGTTGCTAGCACACACCTCCATACTTCCAACCTTCCCAGAATGGTGCTGACACCCAGACCCCAATGGCCACGGGCAAAAAGGGGCACCCATTGTTTGGTAGTTGACTCGGAAGGGAGACCGCCCTCCAAAAAAAAGAGCAAAAGGTCACCACTGGATGTCTGGAATGGTGTTGACACTAAGCCCCGGGCTTCACAGACAGTGATGGCGATGTGATCGGACGCTGCGCGCGCGCCTTTCGAGCAACGGGAACTTGGTGGGAGAAAAACTCCGTATGAGTCATGGTCGACATCACTTGCGCGCAATCTTCACCAAATTTCCGCACACTTCCATGACACCTAGTAACCCCCGAGAAAGGAAAGCATCTTGGCACATTTTAACTAAGAGGTTTCAAGCCCATAGTACAGAATTCAAAGAGCGACATTTTCCCCAGTGGAGAGGCCAAGCCATGCTTCCTGGTTTTGCAACTGACCTGGTCCTCCCTCAAAGATTTTTACAGTCCAGGAGCTCGGGGCTCGCATTTGCAAGAGGGCTTCCCCTCATTTTGGCCTCTGGGTTCCTCCGAGGGATCAGCCTCTGGATATGTCCACCAAGCCCCAAGCCCCAAGCCGTCGCGCCTGGGTGTCCGTCTTGGGGCGCCGAAGGGCTACTCGCACCTCAGGCCATCGGATCTTTTTTGCCGGGGATTTTTCGCTGTCAAGGGGCGCTCACAGGGGTCCTTGGCCTTGGTTCTTGGCAAACATCTTTGACAAAAGGGTCACAAGGCAACGGTGCTTTGAGGTAGGCCTTGTTACACATATAATTGCAGTCTACGTATTGGTTGCCCCAAATAGAGGCTGTAATCAAGGTTCAAGATGCATGTTCTTCCTGTACAACCAAGCATCTTAAGCTGAACGTTCTGACAGCGCACATCAAATGCTCTCCAGACTCGAGCATCCAGTTAGGACTGGTCTTCTCTTTGGGTTCGGATTCCGTTTTGGTACTTGACCACTTAGCACATGCACATAACTAATGCCATCCACGTGGATACAGATATAGACTAAGACCCGGCTCAACTCGCGGATCCTGTGCAGCAGGATAACCAACAATCCTGTCAGCGAGTAAGTTTTAAACATGGCCAGAGCCTGTAAATCAACATCAAACTCAAAGCCGTCTGATTTTGGGGCACCCCTTCCATAGCTCTTCTGGTCAATTTGTAGGGGGATAGTGGTCACTCGGCTGGTCGATTTCCAACAGGTCCTGTAGCTTTCCCCCTTTGTTTCCGTTTCAATTGACAACGGAAAGGTATCTCGGTATCTCGAACAAAACTCTCCCTCGAGGAATTGCCCTGGCCTTGTGGGCAGTCTTCTCATCCCGCTCGGGCAAAGCATCCAAAGCCCTGCGCTGCGCGACATCATCCGCTTGCGGAAGATGTCCCTTGTCTCAAATGCCACACCCCCATGACTACTCGCCCACTTAAAAGGGATTCCCTTGGTGCAGAAAGTGGCCCCAAGACCGTATTTTCGACGACCATGTCTCCAATTTGTAGTTCAATTGCTTGTTGCGAGTAGGGAGTTCCCGAAGCTGACCTTCAAACCGCACTCCAAATGCGTAGTCTTTCAACGTATTCTTCACGATTCGCTTGAAATGAGAGCAAAACATGATTAGCCAACCAAACTCGACCCTCTCAAGGGAAAGCCAAGGATGTTATTTAAACATGTTGTTTAAACAATACTGGGTTAAATACATTTGAGCGGTGCCGAAGATCTGGGGCATAAATCTCTCTACTAACACATAACGTTTGCAGAACCTTGCAATGTACTCGCGGACACGCGCTTTACTTTCGCGGGCATGTGGTTTCTAATGAATCACTTTCGCGGAGCTTTCGCGGCGTGTTTGCTTGACTGGGCCATCAACATGGACCAAGCTGCGAAGCTCTTCCCTTGCTCCATTCTGTGGCTGGATTTAAAAGGGATGTGGGGATCCTTTCAGGGGGCAATTGGAGCTTTCACGGAGCTTTCGAGCCATTCGGCCGAGCTCAAAAGGGACTTGAAGCTGTCCACACAAAATGCACTCTAGCGACGCTTCTGCGGCCTGCTTTTCGAAAACCGCCTTCGCCGCAAGGTTGCGCGGACTTTCGCGCCTTACGTTTCAGCTTTCGCGAGGACTGCTTAGAAGTGCCCCTCAATGAACCCTTTCATGATGATTTGTGGCGTTCATTTAACAAGGAGGCTAGCTGAGCCCTGCTTGAAACCACATGACTCGCTTCAAAGCCAGGCCTGGCAATCCCTGCGTACAAAGAGGAGTAGGTTGGCCTCGGGAATGCACCATGTGACTGAGGCTCACCGAGTCAGGCCTCCCTGGCTATAGGTTTCCATCAGCCAACATATGTTTACGTGTGTGCGCGCCTGTTTTTCTTTCAGACCAACCAAAGGGAAACCACCCATTCTAAGGGTCCGAATCCATATTTTGATAGGCCACTGGAGGTCTGAGCGTAGTTCTCCTCCAAAAAGCTCACTGAAAGGCTCATATGTATAGGTCAACCACAGCCAAGCGCCCGCTTCGTTTCCAACGATTTTCGGTGGCTTTAAACGTCACCTTCCGGCAACGCAAATTTCAATTATGTGTCCTTGCGGGAGCACCTTTGCGGAAGAAACGTAGGCTTAAGTTGCAATGGCCCCGCGTCTTATGAACGTGGCACGATTGGGGTTCTGTGCTTAATCAATTGCTTCAACCACCCTTCTTTCAAAAAAACAATCCTTTCCCTGAGCGAATCATTCGATAGAGTCTGCCCATGCGCTGTTTCTACCACCTAGCATTGAAGTTTATTGTATCCAACCCAAAGTGAATAAGAGGGGTATGTTGATCCCTGCATGTGTATACATACTTGTACAATATATATATATATATATATTTATATATATATATATACACGCACAACTATGTGACTTTGTCTCAAAATCAAGGTCCCCTAAAATTATATGGTTTCCTCTTTTTCCTATTCCACTCAAGTACATATTCGCTGTATGAAACAAACCCTTTTGTATCTCAAGTCGATTTTGCCAATCCACTTGACAGTTAGAAACACAGCATACGCACAAGCGGCCACTCTAAGCTTGGCATCGGTCCCCATGCATTTCTGATGTCCAGAAGGTCCAACTTACATTTCCTCACACCTCAAAGAACTGCAAGTCCGGAAGGCATTCGGTTGCACTGGTCACGTTGCAGCACACAACAGCAAGGTCTACCATAACATGTTCAATCCGTGTGGGGTCGGACACTTGGACTAGCCACTTGGGCGCTGACACTAGAGGCGGCATGGCGAACAATCGAAATCGCTAATGGCGAGAGAAGCGACGACTCGAAGTTGAAATGTCGGTGACCAGTATGTCAACTTGCTGTCTCTGGCTTTTTGCACTTGTCAAGCTTTCTGTGGCCATTCGGCTTTGCCGCTCCAAGCCACTCCTCCTGCGGAACACATCATGCTTGTCTGCGCCAGGTCTGCCAGATCTTCCCATGGCCATCAAACCCAAACCTCCACCTCATAGTGGTCAGGTCGCTTATGGCGGGATTGCCATCGGAGGGGGGAATGGGGCTGTCTTTGACCAAACAAAAAGCGCATACTGAGCTAAGATGAGACCGGCTGCTGCTTCATCAAGCTCATGATTGCTGGGCGAAAATCTGGGAGTGCAACAGACTTGCACATGCCATGGCAAAGGATGCTAATGTCAAATGCGGAGAGTGAGCTGGTGTTTGCATGCAAGATGTCCCCTTTAACCCACAAGGGCCCTTCTTCAACCACGGCCAATATCATTGTGTGCCTAAGCGTGGGAATTTGGTGAGTACCCCCCGATTGCGCGATGGTTTGGTCAGTCTACCCAATGTCATCTCATTTAGTACAGAAAATGACAGCGAATATGGACATGTGGCATAAACAGCACCCCACAAATGGCAGTTTTCCGCAAACCAACCTTGAAAGGGGCGCCCTTAAAAAGAACAAAAACACAACCCATATGGACGGTTGCTCACGGCCTGCTCAGCGGAACTGCTGCAACTTGCGTCTCCTTTTTGGTGGTCTATTGGGCAGCTAGTGCTGCGAGGGCCCCTGGTGAAACGGAGGTTCGCTGCGCGCCTCACTCCCCTTTTGCCTGACTCCAAGCACATTGCGAGGGCTCAGACTGGCGCATGCATCAGGGGGTCTGGAAAGAAAAAAACATGACTTATCCATTTGCAGTAGCAGCCAGGTACCAGCATTTTGTGAAGTCAAATGTGCTGCTGCAAGAAACCTGCTTTGCTTGCCTGTAGGCATTCGTAACTATGCCTATGCAAACACAGTGAAACAACACCGACAGTGGCTTTGCAAAGCCTTTAGCGTCTGAGCTCAAGCAGGTGGCAGTGAGGGTTTATCACAGCACACGAGCATGACTCATTCCAAAGGCCGTGCGAGAAAAAGACAAATTAAATAGGGGGGCCGTTCCAGCTCGATTCGAGCTGACCCTGGCACAAGGATGGACGGGGTCCGGCAAAAAGGTAAGCCAAGAGAAACTCGGGACATGTCTTGAACATGTCTTTGTACCCTTTCTGGGTTTGTTCGAAACCGAAGGCACGCCGATTCCCATGATAAACCCATTTTGACCCTTCGGGTTTGATTGGCTTTTGCTATAGGGTTTCCTAGGATTCTCCTCTAGAGATCACCCCACCTAGATAAACCTCCCTTTCATTTGGCAACCAGCACGTGATGATTGAAACCGCCGAAGCATTTGGGTTGTTGCTTCCAACCAAGAACCTACAAAAGGTGAGTTTCCGCTCGGTGTGTGATGCTTAAGGGGCAACATATCGCCCCAAATCTCAAAAACCCACAGAACAAACTCAAACTCGGAGCCTTTTTTAGGTTGTTTTCAATTGGGAGGTTGATCAACAGAAAGGAAAGAAGGCCACTACCGGAGGTCGAAGGGGCGTGAGCGCGCGCCAGTTGCGTCTCGATGCGGCGTTGGGCCTTTTGCTTGGCCATGAAGTCTTCTTCGTAGCTGGGGTTCCTCAGTCAAGCCAAATACACCACAGCACCCCCTCAATAACTTCTCCACACCCCCGAAACCACCACCCCCAAAACCCCTACCAATTGCCAAAGCGATAACACCCAAGAGAAAAAGGGTTATAAGTTACAAGTCCGCATCTGCTCTAATGATTAAACTATAGTGGATTCCACGTTCCTTTCCATGTTGGTTTGGAAATTGAAACCCTCTTCGACTCCCCGGCACCAATGAGCCAATCGCCAAAGTCGGCCTAGCCACCCGAACCGTCCAGAAAGAACCCCCCAAAATGGTCGGCTAAGGCCAGGGCCTTCCCACTTCCCTCGATCTCCCAAAACCCGCAGGTCAAAAAAGATGTGAAGCATCCGTTCCCCCTACTTGTTGGGGGGGGGGGGCAGGCGGGTTGTTGGCTCTTTTCTAGGACGGATTTGGCAGTGCCAAAGAAGGCTCCGAGTCCGAGCTCCGTGCAAAGAGATGAAGGTGGGCTCCTGCCCGGGTGTGTCTAAGGGGACATTCCGGGGTGGGTGGCTTTCCTTTTGGTTGTCCTTTCCAAACCACACCATGAAGGGTCCCCCCAAAAAAAACACACCCCGGTGCCACAGTTCCCAAGTTCAAACGTTTGGATCTGGGTGCTTCGTTCTGGGTGGTAGGGCAACCAGAGGGGATTTGCAATGGGAACCCATTTTCACGTAATCCTTCCAATTGGAAAACTTGGGAACCGACCCCCATGTCCACTATTACCAAATTTCAGTTTAGCATTCCCCCAAGCTCGATGCTTGGGCACACTTCCTGAGTGGATTGTCCCAAAAAACAGTCGCAGCTTTCAAAACTGCCACTCAAATGCTCCAAAACCAAGTGGCCAAACTCCTCCAAACCTGCTTTGGGTGGCAAAAAACAACGGTCCACGCCCAAGAGCGTGGCTTTTTGCGGCTCCCATGCCCCACCTGTGCGGCTTCTCGCCGCCGGCGCGCAGCAAAGGTTGCGAAGAGGCCCTCAAGTCTGCGGTCTGGGGGGGCGTGGTGTGCAAATCGGAGCATGGCATGAGCTTAAACCAACCAATGAGGCAAAATAGGAGGACCCACAGAATATTTTGACTAAACAATTGGGCCTATGGGTAAATCAGGATTACGAGTCCCCAAAAAGGGGAAATTTGGTTTTCAGATGTTTTCAGCCGTTGAAAAAAAGCCAAGGTGAAAATGAAAAGGTTGCCGAGCCTCAACAAACACCCAGTTGGTGCTTGACGGGGGGGGGGTCAATTTTAACCCGCGAATTGGCTGAACGTGGATGTAGTTCCGCGGGTTTCCGTCTGGCTCGAAGTTCGAACCATTTTCCAGTGCCATTGCTTACGCCATCCAGTTGTCCGAAAGGGCGCCTAAGGACCCCGCCCCTCTTTTTGGGTGGAGGTTTCTCTTTGTGGCCCACAAAGGAAACATCCAAAACACGGTTAAATCATACTTTGGGGCCTTTGGGGACTGGCAAAACGCTAGATTGTTGTGGAGGTGAAATCCTAACATGAACCAAAGCGCGTGCTTGTCTCGCAGCCCAAATTTCGGAGAGTCGGTAGAAAAAGCCAGAGCCGTGGGCAGTCCGGAAAATGGTCCTTGGCTTCAGGCTTAGGCATTTGTTTGGCTCCTGCTGCTCTGAACGATATGAGAAAGGGGTTCCCAACCAGACATGTTGAGCTGAGTTTCCACCCGACTTTGGAGGTTAGTGAGGGATTTATTACCCATTCCACCAACAGTTTGTCTGGCAAAAAAGACACGAACCACGTGAGGTTCCGGTTATTTTCTGTAACACGTTCAATGTTTTAGAGGGCTACCACCCAACGGGATGCAAACGTCCACTCCAAGCTGGGCCCCCTTGCTGCAGGCTGCTCACGAGCTGCTGGAGCTTGGAAGGCTGGGACCTGTCAAGATTTCGAGGCCAATTGGTTGCAAGGGGACGGCCTGCGAATGGTTTCCTGGTGGCTTCCAGGTAGTTTCTGGGTTGGTATCCGTGTTTCTTGCTTCTAGGTTCCGATGGTGCTCGCTCTGGCGCAGGACGCTTGTGCTGTGGATGCCGGGAGGCCTGACGGTGGCGATGAAGCGTCAAATGCGGAGGTGGTTTGCCGGTGGCAGAAAGAGCACAGCCCCACGGTGGGCCCGGCTGCGATGTTTGGGGGACATATGCCGGTAGCAGTAAGTGCCTCGCCTCTGGCGGGCCAGCCCGGCTCGGGTATGAGGTGAGCAACACCGCCCCGGCTCCTTTGGCGAGCCATGCCTTTGGCGAGCCATGAGTGGGGGGTGCGGTATGGTGCCGTAATTCTGGCCATTGGCGAGTCGGCCCGACTGCAACGCCGGGCTCGGCCGGTAAAACGGTGGCGGCGTTCACTTAGGTACTCTGGCACGATGCGGCCCGAGAACCTCATGATGGCGTCCAACTCAAACTACGAACCTTCTAGGTTCCTGAATTCCTGGTTTCCCTTCAACCTGGCACACCGAAATAGTTTCCGAGTATTCACACTATGCTTACCACCATGGTTATAGGTGGTTGACAATTAGTGGCTGACAAACGAAACCATGATTAATACTCAGGGTCAGTTAACCCTCTGTTACGGTTAGTGTCAAACGCTGCTCTTCCCCACCCACGCAAACGGCGCATGATGGGCATCTCGATTTGATTCAGGCAAGCTTGAGGCTCCCTTCGCATCATTTCCCCTTTCTCTTGGCACTTCGCTCGCCTCCACTGCCGGGGTGAGGCATGCCAAAGCGCTGAGCTGCAGCTGCGAGGGAAGGCGCCTAGCGTCGAGACGAGAGGTGCAGCGACTCAGGGCAAGGTGTCCAGAAGTGGATGGAGGTGAAGCCGAAAACAGGTCACAATACAATTAGTCAAAAAGGGATTGAGAAGATTCGAAGCCAATGGGCGAAGTTGTTTCATGTAGAAACAGACAGTGAGATGATACCTTGAAAGGAGCCATGCTTTTGTGATACAAACACATTTCGAACATCAAGGGGGTTGATGTCTACCATCTTTGGCGGTTTTCCTATCAAAAGTCATAGCCAGATGTGGCCAAACTATGGAACTGGGTCAGGATGAGGCCACCCCTGGTTGATGGATAGGGGGTGTCCCCGTTCAGGGGACCTTTCGCTCGGCCCAACATTCACAAAACATCCGCCCGGTAGCAATCCGTGGTCATCAGCTTCTGGTTTGGGGGCCCATGGGCAACCTGGCCTGGTGACGGACAGAAGCACATCGCTCGCTTGACAATTCACAACTTGCTCTCCTCGAGTTTTCTTCTACACGAGAAAAAACAAATACTCAACTGCTACTTGACACGGGCCCCCCCAAAAGAAGATTCCCCTCCACCGGCCTGCAAATGAGAGCTTCCTGGGTTCCATGTTAGTCTGTAGCGGAGTACCCCCAAAGAAGACACTGCCAGTTCCATCTTGTGCAACCCGTCCATTCTGCATCAGTCCCTGCCTGCTCACGTGCTGTACAGCGGGTGTGGCGCGCCCTCAAGGTGCGAGGCAAACCACTGGTGGCGAAACGGAGATCGCTGAGCGTTGACATTTTCCAATGAAAGTGCCACTGTCCAAACCATCAGCTGCGGCACTGCCAAAGTTATCATCTTTTAATGAACTCATGTTTCTTGTTGCCCTCACACACTCAAATTTTCGCGAGGTGAAACGTCGGCACGCCTGGTTTGGCCCATGAAAAACGCGAGTGAAGGGACCTGCTGGGGTCCATGCAGGGATACAGGGACTGATTCACAACAACGCGGTTGTCACTTTGGTGGCCATCCCACAGCTTTCGGCGGCTCGCAGGAAAGTCCACTTGAAGGCTCCCAAGATCTCCCAACAAAAGAAGTCGGCCTAGCCCTCAAGCCTTGCAGGGGGCTCCCCCCTGCAGAGCAGCTTGTTTCAATGCCGGCTTACGCTTCAGGGGCCTTCCGGCGCCGGGCGCGGGGGCGGAGTTGACGCCTCGCGGCAGGTAGAGGCTCGAACGTTCGATCTCGGAAACCGGGGCCACTCATCTGCCAATCCCGGAACGCATATTTTTCGATCCAGGGTAACTGAAGGCAATAGTCTTGCCACCTCCTACTATTCTCAAAGCCCTTGCTTCCATCAACATCTGTCTCGGCTGGCTGAGCAGGGAACAATGGCCCGGCAAATGACGCCTGCCGCTCAAACCTTGTCACCGCTGGTTGTGCAAAGCCACTGCAAACTGTTCATGCTGTTCAAAGGGTACGTGTATGGTCAAACTCAAACATCGGCCTTGGTTTCAAACATCGACTATTGTGTGCACTCCTTCCCATTTGCTTCAGGTGGAATACCATACACTCGGACGTGTACATAGTACCACATCATATCTCCCTTTGAAGCCACCCACGCCCCATGACACCTTCCATCTCTGCCCAGTTTCGGCCAACAGGGTGCAGGTTGGCAACACGTCCAAAGATCACCTGTTTCACCATGGGATACGAAGGCCCCTCCAAAAAAAAGGAAGAAAACCATTCACAGCACTGGAAATCTTGGTCCCAACGCCTCCGCATTCCTATCTGCAGCAGGCTCTGCACGCCCGGCTTGTCCTCTCACGGCAAACCCCCTGGGATCGGTCACAAAGTTGAAGGCAAACGGAATACCACCCATTTGCATTTGGAGGTTCCCTCATTTAGAGGTACACGGGTCAGAAAGAAAATAACCCTCTAAATGACACACCTATATCTCGCGATGGCACGCAGGCCCAAACGTTGCGATAGAACTAGAACCACCAAATGCTGTTCATGATGCCAAGTCCACAGCTGTGGACTCAGGTGATCCCCATTTGACGCTGGGAGAAACGGCAACCAAATCCCCCTGCCGTGGTGCTTGCGCCTTGCGGAGCTTCGCACGGGGAGGTTGTGGCCTGCGCCATCGGCACACGTGGCATCTAACCAGAGCTGACAAGAAACATAGGGTGCGAATGTTAGATGGCTGTGGGTCAAAAATATGGAAACCCAAAATGGCTTGCCCAACATGGACCAAAACCTGCGGTCCCCTGGTGGTTTAATTTCGAACCGTACCCAGAGAAGGACCCACTGGTGAACACCATGTGGGGGATTTCTGTCCGCTCTTCAGGGGGTTCTCTGTTGAAGCCCATGCACTTTGCGGGAGTTGATTAAGTGAAACATCCAACGACAAGCAGCTTCAAGCTCGAAATCCAACGAGGCAATGTCGTTGGTCAAGAATATGATCAATATTCCTGGCTCCGCAAATGACCATGGGCAATTCTCTTTTCCCATCTACTGGGACAATATACATATATATATATAATATATAGATATGTACATATACATATACATATGTATAATATATATATATAGATCATCATTTGTGCGGTTTTCCCCAATGGTCCCATTTCGAACTCCCGCAGGGTCAGCCCCAGTTAGATGCCTCACTTTGCCAGCCTCTGGAGCTCTGCGGCCTCGACGGCCTCGAGTCAATGGCAGCTGGTGCTCAGTGAAACAAATGAGGGAACCAACCGTTTTGGGGCCTTCAAGAAAACCAAAAGCTTCCCTGGAAAACAAATTAAAACAAAAATCCAGTAAGAATAAGTTCCATTTAAAACCAACAAGGGAAAATAACGCATAGTAAATGGAAGAAAGGGATGGTTTACAAGGGTCATTCCCTCCTTCCCTGCCGAGCACCAGCAAGTAAGTAAAGAAGACTCACTTGCCCAAAGGACCTGGAAATAAGAGTTTAACCTTTTGGGGCCACTAACAATGGACCAGGGAAAACCAAGAGGTCAAAAGGTCGGCTTTGAACAACTGAGAAAAACAACAGCAACAACTGAAAAGTGAACAAATGAAACAACAACCACTTTGCCAGTAAAAGACCGACGTTTCTCGGTGGATTGCCCAGAAGTGATTTAGGAAATGCATGCAGGGGTATGCTTCACAGCACACCTCAACATAGCTGTGCTGCACGGCGCATCTCAGCATAGTTTTGCTGCGCAACACATGACGATGTCAACATAGCCTTGCTGCACAACACATCTCAACACAGCTCTGCTTGGGGGCATGATTGGGCTCTTTCTTTCTGATAAACACTTTCGGGATACGTGGGGTGTAGTTGCTGACCCTCTACCTTTTTTTGGGCCCAAAAAACCAGGCCTGCTTAACTCCAGTTGGTGGCTTGGATTGGCTTGGAGTGGTTTCCTGTCACTGCACCCACCTGAAGAGATGGAAAGCTGGGCCCAGGACCTTGGTGCAACTGGGCCCGATGTCCGCCCCAAACTAACAATCGAGCACCAATAACCGGGGAGGGGGGGAATACAAACAAAATGGTGTTTTCCTTTTGCTTTCCCTTTACAACTTTACAGCCCGAGCAAAAAGCGGGGGGGGTTCCCCCAGAAAAAACACACACCCAGACCCACATTAGGACGCCTGGGCCATGGGTGCTTCTCATTTAGGTAGCACCAGAGTCCAGCGTCCAGCCCTCGCCAAGAAAACGCGCTTGCCTCGGGCATCCACATCGAAGCCGCGCTCCAGGCAGTCGGGGCAGAACCAGGACCCTCTTGGCCTTGAGCCGCAGTTGGGTGTTTCTTGAAACGGGCAGACCCTGACATGGTTGGCTTCCTCTTGGCTTTCTTTAAAAAAAAGGAGAGCCACCATTTTGAGAAGCTCCCCATGCACACCCAACCCGGGTAGTTGAAGGTTAGTAGAGTCCCAGCCCGAAATAGGCGTGGCATCATCCATATGGGGCTGGCTTTTGTTGAGGGCACCCTTCTGGTGGTTGTTTGAAAGGGAAATCCAAAGGACCTCCTCTCCCCTCAAAAAACACGGGCACCCACAAAAAAGGACACGCCCATGGTCTTCTCCGAGGGTTAACACGCATGACCAAAGCAGCTTGCCAGCTCCATGCCCGTTCTGGGCCCACTCTCTCAGGTCAACGCACGGTGGAAAGTCCGACACATCGGAAATGAAACGTCGCATTGCCTCAAACACTGCGGCTCGAGTGGCGCCAAGCCATGCTACATATCCATTGATTGCTCCCTTGAAATCCCCAACGCAGTGAGTATGCCTTGACATGCGCGGGCTCACATGCCAGCGAAAGGCCAGAAAACCTATATATAGCACGGGAGACAGCACCACAAAACAAAACAAACACAGCTCTCCCGTTAGTTGATTGGTTAAACTTGTAACTTGTCAAGAAGTGAGAATGAAACAGGGCAGTTCCTCCGAAAGTGACGAGGCAGCAAGTCAGCTCTTCTGAATGAAGCAAGCAACCGAATCCGTCGTTCTGTATGGAAGCCCTTCTTGGGATTGGTGTTGAAGGGAACAAAAACAAACCAAAAAAACAGTTGGGTGCCCCTACTGTCAAGGCCAACAAATACAATAAGCCAATGGTATCCCAATAGCCCGGAACTTTCTGGAACCCTACGGAACCCTCCCTGAAAGCTCCCCCAAACCACCCACAGCTTATCTGGGCAGCGACCCCTGTTGGGGAACTATCATAAAAAAGAAGGAAAAACATGGCTAATTGACCCCCAGCATTGCGAGCTCAAAACAAATTCATCGGTACATCCAAACTCCCAGCTTCGAAAAGCCCATATATGCAGAATGATAATCAGCTAGGACTTGCCTTTGCTGTTTAGTCGCTGTGGGGAACACGACCTACTCTTGCTTGCCAGGGTTGACTTCTAAGCACGTCATGTCATGTACCACTGGTTGCAACTGCCGGGCCGTGAGGGGCTGGGGCAATCAGCCACAACTCGCGGCGGGTAGTACAACATCCCCAGAGAAAACACCAACACATTTACCAATCATGGTACGCTTCCCTGAAATAAGACCGAGAAACACCGACACAAACACAAACACAAGCGCAAACAAGTGCAGACTCGAGCGCGCGCACCCGTACACAAGCACAAGGCCACACACACACACACACAGGCACACAGACAAACAGACACACACAAACACACAAACACACAAGCACACAAACACACAAGCACACAAACACACAAGCAACACCGACACCCACACACCCACACACCCACACACCCACACACCCACACACCCACACACCCACACACCCACACACCCACCCACACCCACACACCCACACCCACACCCACACAGACCTACACACCCACACACCCACACACCACACGCCCCCACACAGACACGCACACACTCACACTCACACTCACACTCACACTCACACTCACACCCAGACACACACACACACAACCACACACACATACACACACACACACACACCCACACACCCACCCACACCCACACACCCACACCCACACAGACCTACACACCCACACACCCACACACCACACGCCCCCACACAGACACGCACACACTCACACTCACACTCACACTCACACTCACACTCACACCCACCCACCCACCCACCCACCCAGACACACACACACACACACCACACATACACACACACACAACACAACACAGCACAGCACAGCACAGCACAACACACAACACACACACACAACACAACTCACACACACACACCACACATACACACACACACACACAACACAACACAGCACAGCACAGCACAGCACAACACACAACACACACACACACAACACAACTCACACACACGCAACACACACACATACACACAAACATATTCACTTTACTTTAACGCAAGAACAACGCTTGCTCTTCTACTCGTTTCTACTTCTGGTTGCACATGTCCCCAACAAACCCGATAATTCTGATCAATTCTGTACCACAGGATGCTGTGGTGCAGGCTTTGTCACACCTAATCACAAATTTCCGTGGCCCCAAACACGGACGAAAACGACGAGAACCGTCGGCTCCGGCTTCGGATGGGCAAGTCTCATCTTGGCCAAGGCACAAGTCCCATGCATACCATCGCAAAGCAATAGCTGTGCTTCATCTCCCACCTCATGACAGAATTTGCGCAGACGATCGATTGCTCGTTCTGGCCAAGTGTCACCAAGAAGTATTCTACTTTCTTTCTCGAGAAACCCTCATTGAGGAATGTGTCTGAGGCTCGAATGATGCATGTGGCAGTTGAACCCTTTCTGCGTTAGCCTTCACGCCGGATTCCTCGAAAAGCTCACTTTGAGTATTGTCCTGAACCATGCACGTACTAAAACCTAGAGGACTGTGCACAATCGTTTTGACCAATGCATGAAGAAAGCACCCGTGGCCTCCTTGCATTTTTCACACAGAGAGATGTCTTCGAACTCCTCGTCCTCCTGCGGGCCCGCCACAAAAACCAGACCGAACGATTGGAGAAGAGGCCCGCGCGCGCGAGCGCGCGAGCGGCTGTGTGTGTGTGTGTGTGCGCCATGGACTCATAGAGGTCATCTTGAACCTGGTAACATGGATCCTGACGTTTCGGGGTCCCAGAAGACTGTTTACCTTTAGGTGGGTTCCATTGGGGAGGGTATCTTTTTCAGGAAACCTGAAGCAAACTCATCCACTTGGTGCTCAAGAAGATCTCCTGCTCCTCCTGGTCTTTACCTCGGCAGCGAAAGAACCTCAGCCTGATGTCCTTGTGGAGAAGAACGGTACCCTTTTCAGCTTGGTTTAAACTTTCTTGGGTGATCCGTTGGACGTAACAAATGGATTCCTTTCGCATGCGGAGAAAACTACCCAAGAGCTCCCTTGCTAACTCTCCCCATGTACTAATTGCCTTTTGTTGGCAACTTAACACTCGAGCAAGAACTCCTGTATTGAAGCGCGGAATTCACCCTCAAATGCCATGTTTGGCGGCTGAGTGTGATGGCAACAAGGGGAAAATTAGTGACTCTCGATCACCCTCGCCGAGTTTAGCCATATGATGAAGGGGCATTGTTTGATGAGGGTTTGACCCTAAGTCAAACGGCAGGCGTTCCTTTGGCTTCCCAACAAAGCTCACCGCCATCCTTCTGACATTTTGTGCAGCACTTCCAAAACCTGAAGTTAGAGATCCAATCAAGTCAGGACCTTAATGTGCAACTTTTGTTTGTTGCAAATATGTGCCTCCAGGCTATTTGTTTCTCTTCATCTATCCACTTGCCAATGGAAGTGAAACTGCCTAAAAATGGGCTCCTGAAAACGTCCATGGTGTCTGGGTTGCTTACAACAATACGGGATCTCTCTGATCCTAATCCGGAATCCGCTGTGAACAACCACTACAAGAAGGGACACCACCATCTGGCAGAAGGATTAAGAATTGACTTTACACCCAGGGATCTGGAACTTGTTCTTTTTTCTTTTTTTTGTATATCATGGCAGCAGTTGCAAAGATCAATTCATTCTTTGATCCTTGACCCACAGTTGCGCAAATGCATCTGACTCGCCGTGCACGTCTGAGCCAGCGGCTCTCAATCTTTGTCAAGGACTCGCGCTGGTTGTCAGCGTACGCCGCCTGCCAACCGGGCCCTTGGAAGGGCGATGCCCAGAATGGACCCCTGAATGGGCGGCGGTTCCTTGCCTCACACAGGGATATGGGGGGAAACCGGGACCCCCAAATGGATGGGGGTTCCTTTTGGCTTCCATTGAAACCAACGCGACAAGGGGTGGCCTGAACAAATGACACACCCAAAAGTGAATTGGTCAGAAGCCCTCTGCAGTTGTGCTTGACACTAAAGCAGTCCAAACCCAAACAAACATCAAGAGCAGGAACTCTTAGAGTGAGCTCCAGTCAAAATGCAGCTAGAGTTGATGTCCTGAGCAGTGCAAGAGCAATCATGGTTTCTGTCAAACAAATATCAGGAATCCACTCTTTCAATTGGATACCTTTCCGTGTTGAATTCTGATGGAATATCCTGGAGCAGCGATTTGCGGAGCCCTCACGAGACACACAGCCAGACAACTGTTTCCCCTGCTTCAAGCACTTCATGCACCAGGAGGACAAACATAAAGCCTATACTAAGTAATTAAAAACACCGACATCAAGATGGGTGTAAATTGCTCTGTGTGCTTGGCTCTCTTTGGCTACAAAGGGGGCTAATCCAGTCCATACAGTCGCGGTTTGCCAGGGCTTTTTGCCCTTAGTTTCAAAGCCAACCATTCCACGCAACACGAGAACCCCGCCAGCCAGAAGAATCGCACTTTGCACTGCGGGCAGCTGTTCTCCGTCTGGGACCACTTCTCAGCCTCACACCCCGAAAAGTCCAACGTCCAGATCCGGGCAAGGAGAAACAAATGACACGCTCTAAACCGTTAACTTTTACACATATAGATGTGTGCATCTGTGTTTGCGAAGTGTCTGTAGGTGTGTGTGCAGGTGTGGTAGAATTGTGGTACTTTCCCTATTGTTGATGTGTGCTTTTGTCACTGTGTTTGCGCGGAGTCTCTGTATGGGTGTGGGCATGTGCGGTAGCTGTGTGGTAGCTGTGTGGTAGATGTGTGGTGGATGTGTGGTAGATGTGTGGTAGATGTGTGGTTGGTTGGTATGTGTGTGTGTATGTGTGTATATGTGTGTGTGTGGGTGGGTGGGTGGGTGGGTGGGTGGGTGGGTGGGTGGGTGGGTGGGTGGGTGGGTGGGTGGGTGTGTTCGTGTGTTCGCGTGTTCGCGTGTTCGTGTGTTCGCGTGTTCGCGTGTTTGTGTGTTCGTGTGTCTGTGTGTGTGGGCGTCTTCTCCTCGAAACAAGTATCCTTGTCGTTTCCCTTTACCCCCCCCAAAAAAAAAGGGTTTCCAACTTTGAGACACGCTCCAGAATGAACGACTGCGAGCCACATGACCACTGAGCTTCTTCCTTGCCTCCCAACGGCCCTCCCCAGTTGCACTTGTTCTATGGCGCCGACGCACTCGTGGTGAAAGACGTGCGTGCAGTTGTCGATTGCTCCAATCTGGCCATATCAATGAATCTCAGCAATGGAATCATCGGTCGCCACATTGCATGATGGTGAACGGTTGAATATGGTTGAATGTCAGTTGAACTGACACATACATGGAACAGGATGAACAGGCATTTATCCACATCAGGTCATGCTTGCCACTCGACAGCAACCAGTTTCAGCAACCAGTTGTGATGAAAAGTCTTGCAAGGACAGCCTTCACTCACCCTTGCAGCGAACCAAGTTACACTTTTTGACTACCCGAAGCTAGACTTAAAAACCCAGGGGTTTCCATTTGGGGGACATCAACCATCCCTGGGTTTAAGTCTATCTTGGGGCAGTCAAACAGTGGAAGACTCTGTATATATTTATATACATATATATTTCGTTCGGTATCACGACTTGCTTAGACTTGCCTGGCTGTATGGATTAGGGAGTGCGGTGCAGTAGCTGCTGACAAGTGCTCTCGTGCCACACCTTCGACTCAGGCTCGATGTGGAGCAAGCATGCCTTGGAGACCGCAAAGGTTTTACCAGACCGGACGGAGGCATGATGTGTTGTGACCAAAACCACGCTTGGAGTGGGGTAAACAAAAACACAAAATTGGGTACACCTCAAAGGTCAAAATGTCATTCGCTTCGGGCAAGGTCGACGTGTCGCTAGTCTGTCCTTCGGATGCGAGACCATCGTGGCACTTGCCCAAAGGACCTAGAAATAATAAAAGCTTGCCATTTTGGGACCTTGCTAAGAGTGGGCCAATGAGGGGAAGATAACAACAAAGGTCGGCTGAGTCGTGCTGCAAAAAGACAAACTGAGGCCCGCTCGCCGCACACCTTCTCCTCCGCGGTCTTGTCCCTCGATACGCTCCATGGGGCTGTTTTTCTTGGGAGTTTAGGGTTTGGTTTGGTTTGGCTTCTAATATCTGTGTAGCACTCCTCTAGACAGGCAAAGCGTCAATTAAATCAGCTCCTTCTTCTGGAAACCGACCTCCAATCCATGATCTAAGCACCCACGGCGCCGACTTGGCCAATGCAAGATCCTAACCCACGTCTCAAGGATGGAGCATCCTGGGAGTTTTCTGGTACCGAGCAAAACATGTGGATTGACAGTTTCCAACCACACATGTTCAACTGGGGAAAGACCAAAGGTGCGCCTCACAAATGCCGGAGCAGTGCTGGTGAGGATGTCCCGCTCAATCACGCGCTGAGTCCTCGCAATGACAAGATACTTTCCATGCTTCACGTGTTAATCCATCATCGGATGGGACACGAAGGAGATATTCACCGGGTTTTAGCAATTTTCTGGAAGGACCCCAGGAACAAACAGACTGCCTCAAAGGCCTAGGACGAATCCAAACTGTTCGCTTGCCACTCAAGCGGTTTTCCTGAAAAGTATAAAGTAATTCTAAGATTTAATTAGGCTCTTGTCGGCAGGATCAGCGCAAGCCATGCCGGGTGGCCAAAGGACGTAAACGGGCAAGCTATGGGTTGCATGTTGAGACACAGGGACCCGCCAAGCAGGAGGTGTCCCTTTTGGTGTTCCATTAAATCACAAAGCCAGGACTGCACTTACCCGGCCGCGTGTAAACAAACCGCGGAGCTTCCAGCGCGGACCGGCCTTGCCCGCACTGCCAGCTTCCGCTTCTTTGGCGCCTCGATCGAGGGACCGCTCCTCAAGCATATTCTAGACACGGCTTGGCTGTTCGAAGTTCGAAGGGAACCCTTGATTGCTCCGAAATGAAAGACAACACCTTTCTTTCTAATAAGCCTTGAGACCAGTCACAAGGGATGTCCATTTTTGAGACCAGCCAGAGTTCTGCTTGGTGCTTTGGTGGCATTGGAAAGCCTCTTCAAAACGGGAACCCTTGGAGGCTTCTAAAAATGTTGAACCCCTTCTGTTGGTTGATAGTCAAGGGAAACCAAGAAGAAGCCAAGCAGTTTAGGGGACCACGACTTTGAGACAAACCAATTTCATCTGCAACAAGCAAAATGTCTGGAATGGCGTTGTATTGACAAATCACACATAATATGATACTAGTCTCTAATCAAACCCCTTCAAAAAATATGGCCCCGACCGGAATAGCTCCCGTTTGCTCATCTTTGGGGGGGGGTCTCTTTACTGGACTTCAGTGCCGAAGGCCGAAGTCTAGACGGTGGCACCGTGTCAAAGCCGCCGGCCCCGAAACGTCTAAACAGCAGGGGGCAGCGGGAAAATCCGAAACGCTGCCAGCTGAGGCATGCCGCTGTGCATTGATTTTGAACAATGATGTAATATACGCATGTGCACCCAGGCCAATAACGCGGTGCTAAACATTCAAGCCAATCCTGCACTAGGAGCACCATACTTTTAGGAGCACCAAGCCTTTTTTTGTTATGCTGGCGACGATTAAGCCAAGTTACCGTAACGGAGGGTTGGGAGGGTGCCCCAACCATTTTCTAGTCCCCACACCCTCAGGGGAACGAACGTCAGGTTCTACCCTCGGCTCTGCCTCAGCAACAAATTGCAATCGGCAGTTGTCTCAAAACTAGGGCTCACTTCCAGTGTCGGCCTTCCTGTTTGTTCCCACGATCCCACAACTACCAGACCTCGACCCCCAGCCAAAAGTTAACGTTTTGCTGGTTGAAAGGGAAACATGAAAGGAAAGCCAAACAGGCCAAAGTGAAAATGGCATGCCTGAGCCGCTGAGTTGCCTGGCTCGGACAAGTCTTAGCTCGTTTACACTTGAATTTACAGAAGGGCCCCGCATGGATGGGTTTTTGAAACATAGGGTTTTGGTAGATGGCTTTCAAACGGGCATCAGGGGACGCTCTCTAAATTTATACATTTTGGAGACTCAAGAGGTACGGCGTCCGGCGGACAGCGGGATCCCCAAACCAAAAACTACTGAGCTCAGCGCCATGGCGTGCGCGGCTGGGAGCTCACGGATCCGGAGAAACGCTGGGTGTCCTTTGAGCTAAGCTAACTATCATATGGTCTCATAATTCAACCGGGTGGGGTACCGCAACACCAAAAAATTGGTGACTCCTAATGGTACCGCAACACCAACTTAGAGAGCAAACTAGCTTCCTTGTATCCCGTTTTGGATCCGGCTTGGTTGCCGGACATCCAGGGAAAGGCCTCCTTTTGGGTGGGATCCCGTCTGCACGCATGCCCCGGAGTGCGATCCAGCCCGCCCATTTCGTGGGCGCCATGCTCGCAGCATTTATGACAATTTGAATAAACATACATTCATATTGTATATTAGGGCCCATACAATGTAAGGGAATACAATTTGAATACATAATACATTATATGACATTTAAGGGCCTAAGCCATTGGGATGCTTTGAAACCAAGTCATGTCTTAATCATAGGACAATGTGTATCTAAAATCAGTGCGCCCTGGGTGTGAGTTGTTTAAAGTAGGGGACGCTTTGATCAGCATCATTTCGGTGCGGATTCATGTCCACCAACCATTGAGGTGGTGCTTCGACCCATGGCTCCTATGACGTTGGTTCGGTTTCATGGCCATTCTCGGACAACCTTCACACCTGCAGGGCTGGCGCGCACATCTGACAAACGTGCTGAGTGAGCGTGACAGATCCGACGCGCCAAAAGTGAATCTCTGCTGGTCAGAACGGAACATCCAGGTGCAATATAGGGCAGAAGCGCAAAAAGGTAAGTCTGGCAATGGGATGTACACATCCTATGACCTATTGGTATGGGAGAAGACACCACCGCCGCTACACGAAACGTCCTCATCCAGAATCAAGGCCGCGAGTGCCCATGAAACAGTCAAATTAATTGCTGTCCATCGCCATGTTGGGTCTTGATGCATCACAATAACCCCTGTTTGGTCGCAACATTCTATTGCCCAGGCTATTTTGGTGGGACAGTGGACACTCTAGTCAACGCACAGTTGACTTCTCATTGGGGAAGATGAAGAACAGCCAAATTGGCAAAACGGGCTAAAAACCGGCTCGTCAAGTCAGGCAATGTAATGTGATGCGGGGCATGGAATGTATGGCGGCACCCATGTCAATCCCCCCGCCCGTCGAGACTGTGAGACCCAACCGAAAACAGCTAAGGCAGCCTTCTGGGAAAACAACTGCCACGAAGGCAGGATAGTCTTTGCGAACCTTGTAAACCCTTCGTTCTGCCCCTTTGCGTGAACACCCCCAATCCGTCGTCTAGACGTTGGTTTAGCTCCCAGAAGGACACGTGTTCCCTAGACGCCTCAAGCCGGCGATGGGTCTCAAATGCCGGGCAGGCGGACATTTTTTGGTTCTGTATTGATATTTCGCGCTCGTTTTTCTGGCCCATGGCCGTGGAGTGAAACAGGCAAAGGCAAGTCTGCGGAATGGCGAGCTCCGGCAAAAGGTAATCAGCATGAAACCGAGTTCAGGGGCATGACAATTCCCAAATTGCATAGGGCACAACGGAACACCCGTTTTTGATGGACATTGTTGCAAAGCCTGGGTTCCCGGACAAAACCCACAAGCTGAGAGGAGAAACCGCATCTCCAGACATCCAACGCCAGGCCTCTTAAGTGCTGAAGCCCGTGCCTCGTGTTGACGGAATCCCAGAATCTGCTCAAAAACCAAGGTCAAACACTCGCGCCACAAGCCTGGGAAAGGTTCAAAGGATTGACCAGCAGCTCGGATCCCGCTTTCTCGCTTCTGTGCCCACTTAAGCGGCCCTCGCACCGGACCATTGGCACTTTCGGAGCCGGGTCCGTCAGATCCAGCCACCCAACCTCAGCTCGCGGACCACAAGCGACTCTTGCCGGTGGGCGGGTCTTTTCTTGAGGGTACCCCTCTTTTGGGGTTGGCTCCAAGAAAAGACAAACGAAAAGCCATGGTAAGTTTTGATTCGGGTCCCTTTCACACATACCTTAATGTCCTCGGACTCAATGCGTGGTTTTCCTTTGAAGGATTTTGAGGAAAACATACTAACGGATCTGAAAATAGGGGCAACCCCCACAATGGGCAGTTCCAGTTGGCTTCCAAATGGCTTCCCTTCCAAACTTTGGCCCCAAAAGGCTGGCCTGAAAAAGACAGACCAAGAGAGATTACTCAGATTGAGGGATTGAGGGATTGACACACAGGCACCGCACATTTCTCCGCACCAACCTCAAGTCGTAGTGTCAGGCCGGGTACCCTTCTCAGGCTTGAGGACCCTTCTCAGGCTGGGAAACATGAGGGTTCCTCCCGTCGCCATCTCCCATGAGGCCATGGGTCAAAAACCAATTCGTACCCCCAGTGAACATCCCAATCCCCACTATAGGTTCTAAATTGGGTGGGGCACCTATCCCAAAATGGTACCATTGGTTTTGAACCATGGCCATGAGACAAAGCCACTTGCCGATGGCAACATCTTAGCGTTCCGAGGGCACCGGCCACGCTACCCCAACAGACTCATTGGTCCGCTGAGCTTTCAGCGCATTGCAAGGGGACAACCAGGGTGCTACAATAGGGGGGACCCCGGGAGTGTAGACGAATCCACAAATTACCCATACACTTGTTGGTAAAACAATATGGGCTATTCAGCACCAAGTACCTGTTTTGACATGGACACGTTTCACCAGCTGAAAATCAACTCAAATTGATTCTCCCTGTGAAACGGTGCACGGTTGTAGGTGTCTTGAGTTCTCCAGGTTTGCCACACGCTTGCAAGCTGCACAAAGTAAGCGAGGCCGCGCAGGAAGCTGCGAGGCCGCGTCGAACGCCGCTAACGCGACGCTTTGGTTTTGCGAAGCGTCGCTGTCTTCAGTGGTATTAAAAACCCGTTTGTCTCACTTTGCATTTTCTTTCAAACCACCTCAACAAAGAGTACCCTCACCAAACACAACAATATAAACATATATGTGGTGGCCAACATGGACAACCCAAACAGGTAAGAAAGGTTCACTTTGGGCAAATAAGACCTAAGACAAACCAGACACAAATGAGGATGTGTTGTTAATGAAATGCAGCTCGCCGAACGGGCAATGCAAGTGGCCCATCACAGCCCTAGCGCTAGCTCGAGTTTGAGCGCGCCGGAAATGGCCTCTGCGCAATGAGAGCAAGACAACGGTTTAGGCAGGGATGATGTACAATGGGCTCAAGCCCATTGTTGGGGACCCGCAAACCGTGTTTTTGTTTCAAAAGGAGCGACCAAAGACCTGTCTGATCAGGGCGGGCTAGAAGCCGCTGCTTTTTGGCTCGGTGGAGGCTCCCCGAAGCTTGTTCTGCGTTGCTCCCAGAGGCTAAAGTACTCTCACCCAGACCTCGCCGTCGCTCCATTTCAGGCATCCGGGTTCCTGGCGAAGATCTGACCCCGGCGGGAACTAGCGCTTTCAACGCGAACCATCTGCCCTTGCTGTAGCATCTCCACTCGCTTCAAGGATCACTCTCTTCAAAGAACAGGCCAAGCCTTGGCCGCAGGGAAACTGAACAGAAGATTCGAAGAGAATTAGGAATTGACCCTTAGAACTGTCGATGGCCAAGGTCCACTCCGCACCAGTTGGTAGATGGCTTGCCCCAACACCTGTAGGGGTTCATGCGAACGAGTCTCCATCCACAGTATCCATATTTCGTCACAATAAAATGGGGATCCCCTTGCCTTCGCAAACGAGTCACGCTGGGAATATGTTCCAATCGGCGGCAATATTTGTTCCAATCGGCAGCGCCTGTTGCTTCATTGCCTCACCCCCGAGATTCAGAGTGAGGCCCCGGGCCAGGACAGCTTCCCCGGAGGGACACCTACCTCTGCCCCCTAGCGACGGAGAGAGAGAGGCAGCCGCTCCTCAAAGGTCGCCCGATGTAGGACGCCCATCAGCTCCATCTCGACGGCTCCGTTACTCAGAACCTGACGAAGCGCCGTGATCCAACGAATCGGAGACGGTGGGGGCCGGGGGGGAACCATTTGTGAGGCGGGTGACTACTACTGCTGCTACTACTACTAGTACTACTACCACTACTACTACTACTACTACTACTACTACTACTACTACTACTACTACTACTACTACTACTACTACTACCACTACTGCTGTTGCCAATTGTCCCTTATGGTTTGGTGGCCATCGAGTCTCGTTCTTGCCAACGGGCACTTTGGGAATGATTTGGATGCCAGAAATGGAACGCAACTACTTGATCATAACAATTGATGTAGTATTACTTCGGGGTGGAGAAGCATGCCGTGTCCTGCATGTTGCAGCTTGACATCTGACATGTTGCCGTTTGGGAGAGAACACACCATGTTGCGTCCTTGATGCTACAGTGCGACATCATGATACTTGAGAGACACCACTCTCTGTTTGAAGCATGATGCGCACTGGATGTTGCACCATGCCATCTTGACACTTGAGAATCATCTTCTAAGTTTCGTTTGCTCAAGATGTCTGGCCAAACAGTGTGCCAGGCCTGCCTCAAAGCAGGGCATACGAAGAGAACGAGGCTACCCCCCCCCCCCCCACCCACTCCCCCCAACGACACAGGAAAGAAGGAGACCCCCCTGCTACGGCTATAGACGTCAATCACAAACTGCATGAGCCAACATACGACTGCCAAACAATGGCTTTGAATGGCACTTGCTTTCAAGTCAACTTTCCAGAAGCTGGGCCGACTCAACCCCCAGTACCCAGTAGTTAGTGAAACAACCCTACTTTCTGACTTCGATTCCTAGAAACACTCAAAATCATTGGCCGCCTAAAAGGCTTGCTTAAGCAGTCAGCAAACTTGAAGCCCGGAAAGGTCCCCCATTTATGTGCTGAGCAACCCCCTTTCTCTTTCCAAAAAGAGGCGGCCAAGCAGCAAAACAAACAAAAAACAATGGATTTTATTTGGCTTCCTTTGGCCGCTCCCTCAAACCGCCACCCCTCCAAACGAGGAATCAAGAGCGCCCACTTGGCCCCAGTTGATCCGATCAGGGCTGAAGCTTGGAAGGAAAACAGGACCCCCCGACATGGGCTTGAACCCCTTCCCCCCCCCCCAACAAAATGTTTTTTGTGCGGCCGCCGGATTTTTCTTTTGCTTGGACCCGAGAAGGGATCCAACCCACAACTGCATTCATTTTGAGGCAGCCGCGCAACTATCCTCATGGTGGTTTAAGGGAAACCGCCCAGTACTCGCATGAGGCGATGACCACCCATCGCATTGCTCTCGCCTCTTGCCATTAATCTGCGATCCATGCGATGGATTCGGCGCCTTGATGGGGGACTTCTCGTGGTTGAACTCCTGGTCCCAA